GCATCGGTATGATGTCATGCTGTCGATGATGATGATGATGAGTTGCGGCACCAGTCGCAGGTAGTTTTTAGCTGTTACTTTCACTGAATCCTTAAGTGTCAAACCATGTATAATATAACGCCATAATCCGTCATTTCCCCTTTTCCCATAATCAGGGAACGGCGACGAAGGATCTACTGCTGAATGAAGCCTAAAACTGCTATTGTGGACGGGATGTTGAAAATGCCCATTGCTAGTGGGTTTCCTCCACATTTAGAAGACCCCATGTCAAAGGTTCTTTTGTGCTTCTCATGCACTTCAACTCGGCCTATAAGTGTACTGGGTAAAGATCAACGTATGTGTTGGTTACTCATTGCGTTAAGTTTCTCTTGGTGCTCTGTAGTCACTGCTACGCTAGGGGGCCACTGTCATCTAATCGTGGTGTATTCTATCTGAGCGCTTAGTGGTATAGACACCTCAGAGTGCTTGCGATAGGCCAGCATCATGTCCTCTCCCTCACCAAATGTTTACTCTTTTCACTCTAAGGCTTTGAATATAATCGCCAGTGGAGCATCAGTGTCAACAGTGATGTTGCTCTCTGGTGATAATACACAGTTCTTTGGCCTATTGAACGGAGTCTTATAATCGCCAGCATCAGTGTCAACAGTGATGTTGCTCTCTGGTGATAATACACAGTTCTTTGGCCTATTGAACGGAGTCTAAATGCCTCGCCTATCAAACATGTTTATGTGCTATATCGCGCTAACACAGTGCGCTAAGTGTTTTGAAAACCAATTGTGATTATTTGAGGGAATGCAAAATTTGAACGTAAAACCAGATGCTCCAACCTGCTTTGAATACACAGCCAAATTTAATGCAGGTTGCATATTGTGAGTTGTGTTGGTGGTATTGATTTATCTTTCGCAGTTGCTTTACAAGTGTTTCTTACTCTGTTCTGGGCATTAGCTATTACTGAATAGTGGAAGAATCAGTTTCTTCACAAGTTTTCCTGTTTGATGTGTTGGTGCATAATAAGCACTTGTGCGCAGTTAGATACATCCATAGGGTTTTTATTTCCGTCCATCCCCGCATTATACATTCGTCACTATATTCCTGTCATTTTCTCTCTTGAAAACCTCAGGTTTATCGAACATGATGCAAGACGGTGAATTCTTACGAACTTCTTGTGGTTCACCGAACTATGCTGCACCTGAAGTGATTTCAGGCAAATTGTATGCTGGACCTGAGGTTGATGTTTGGTCCTGTGGTGTCATCCTGTACGCCCTTTTGTGTGGTACCTTGCCGTTCGATGATGAACACATCCCGACCTTGTTCAAAAAGATAAAGGCTGGGTACTTCCATCTCCCAGAAACACTCAGCCCCGGGGTAGGTTTTTTCATCTCGTCCCAGTGGAAATGCAAGTACTCAGAGCAAAACCTCCAGCCATTCGGTAGCTTCAAAAAGACTTCTTCATTCATTACTCAACTGTTTAACAGAAACAGTGTGAGGACACTAGTGTGTCACTATCACGAGCGCTACCAACACCAGTTAACTACCAGCCAATCACAGACGATGATGTTGACCCCATCCTGTCAGGCTTACCTCACTCATGATTTTCGTAATCTTACACTTCCTGTCAATTCATACCTCACCCACCTCTTGGTTTGCGCCACTCTTAATTTGGCACGGAACGCTATTTCCGAAGGCGGCATCTGGATGCGACCGACCTTTCTAGCTTTCCCGTAATTGAAGCACCTGCCGCCTCAGCAAGTGCGCGTTCCCCAACCATCTTGTTGCAACTTCATTGATGTTAGCCCATTCCGGTTAGGGTTTCGTGAGATCATTAGCCTCAGATCTTCTACTTGCAGAGATGAACTATCACAACCCTGTATCAGGTGTGCGTTGTCATCTGATCTAAACACATTCCACCCTCTACAATAACCTAGTATCTTTTTACAGGTTAAAATCGTCCCGTTCTCGGAAGCGTTTCTCCTGAGAAGCTTTTGACCACATGGTTTACTAGGTATGGACACAACAGAGAAGCAAGTGTAATGGTACAAAATAAGACCGGTTGCGCATAACTCGGTGTTCAATTTGAACACAAGGTTGGCGTAAGCTTGGGCACTGCGCCTACCTGAAGGGCTCCAAGAAGAACGGAACCGATCGTGGGCTGTAGAAAAGTTTTCAACAGTCATCAAGAAAATCTACTGCGTTTTCTAGGTTATCGTATTAGTTCAAATATGAGGAGGCGTTTGTTCAGGACGTTTACTTGAAAAATAGTGTAAACGAGAGATTCAGCTGGGATTCAGATGAATCTCTTGTTAACACCAGCTTAGGTTACAGTGGGTGTATTTCGCGAATTTCCTTCATTGTTTATTTGAGACCAGGCTCCAAAAATAGTTCGAGTCATCTATGCACTTCCGTTCTATTCGTATTGCACACCATTTGCGTCCATTTTGAAGTCTTTGAGGAACTCTGATGGTTTACCTTTCCTCGCCGTCAAAATAAGGAGTTTTCCCAGCAGCACTGCACGACACCATAGCTATTGATCGATCTTTCGCTTTCTTTGTTCCCTTCCCTATACCATCTGTATGAACGAGTTTCTTCTTGGGGGGAGGCCCTGAAGTGAGCGCACTTCTTCAGTATTGTAAACGTCATGTCACATGACTTCGGCAAATGTACCAGCCATCCAGCTGTGGTTCCCCTTCGAACCTCGGCGCTCTCTCCGTTGAGAGCGTGAGAACTTGTACTAAGCTTCCGAAATTTCGACAACTCCCATGATCTTGTTTGAAATTCTGCTTGCTTTCTTTGCACAGCAGTTTGCATCTCCTTGTTTGCAGTATGAATCCTGCGAACTACAGGGTTTTAAACATGCTTCTGAGAGTCGTCTATAGACTCCAACGTCGATATTTTCAAATATACTTGCTTTACTGTTTGGGTTCTTTCGAGTACCGTAAACAAATAAATACCACTTACTTTTGAAAACATTGTGCACCTGAGTTTTATCTTTTTAAGTCTGATCACATAAAGCCGGTTGTTTTTCCCTTATTTTTTACTCGGTCGCACTTAGCTTAATCGTTCTATGGAACAGTCGACCATAGAGCATTCAGGGCATAGTGGTCAACGGGCCGGCGTCAAAAATGAGACTAAGGGTGCGTTTGGTTGTATTTGCATGAGGCTCTAGAGGTGAATGAGGAAACTGATCAGTAGCGCCGTCGTCTGAATGTGGACAGGCATGTACTGCTGTCATTCTCGCCGATTTGAATAAGGATGGCGTTACCGGCCTCCCGGTAGACCTGAAGCGCGATTGTGCACTTATTCAACGGTACCTACCAGCGTCAGTGGCATCCATCATCATCATCATCATTTTCATCGACAGCATGACACCAGTGTCCAATACCGATGCTTCACTGCCGTAGTGGCATCCAAGAGGATACTGGAATGGCTAATCGAATACTAATTACCTAGCACTCCAAGCGACCGAACACCATTTTTAACTGAAAGTTGGTGTGTGCGTGGTAACTACCCTTCCACTGGGTCGAATAGACAGCGCGTCTTAAAAACACCTCAAATGAAGGAGGCACCTTATCCCTTGTAGTATAAGTAATTTTAGGACCCGTCTGATACATTACTGGAGCAATATTTCTGGGGATGTCCACGAGTTGGTTTTGTGGTTTCCCATAAAAGGGGACACCTTACCAACTGCGGTAGGTGGTATTCTAAGTAAGGACACAGCTGACTTCGGCATCCGCTTTGTCTTTTGGTCCTGAAGGGCAGGCTCCGATCCATTGTGACGAATTACTGTCAGATGTAGTTTTTTAAATCATTCTTGCGAGCTGAAGTTTTTCGCAATTGCCATTCGTCTACGTGGCAGCGAATATGGCCGGCGGTTTTTATTCCAGGTCCGGGATTTGCTCCGACGCATGATCACCGTAGATCCAATCAAGCGTGCCACAATCGAGGAGATTCGACGCCATCCTTGGTTTGTCGTAGATCTTCCCAATCATCTTTTTCCACAAGAACGGGACGAGGACGCATCCATAATCGATAAGGTGAGTGCTCCGTTCAGGTATCCTATGCAAAGGAACTCCGCCGTTTATTATTTATTTTTCATATTGATTTAGCTCTTTGGCCTTTGATGCGTGGCATTTTGTTGGTATCAAAAGTGTTATTGATGTGCAAACAAGAGCAGCTTGTTGTCACACCCCACTTACTGTTATTATCAAGCCCAAATCGTACGGATTTCAATCCCTTCTGTATAAACCTTTCCTTTTCCGCTCCCATATAACAGGAGGCTGTCTATGAAGTTTGTCAAGCCTGTAACGTAACTGAACGTGAAGTTTTTGCCGCCCTGATCAACAATGATCCTAGTGACCACCTTTGTGTGGCCTATCACCTAATTATCGATAACAAGTAAGTGGTGAAGTAAGTAAGTGTTTCTGAATATTGTTACAGTGTCAACTTAATTTTCCTGTCAGCTTCTTAACCGACAGCACCTCGGACCTCGTCGCTCTCCGGGTTCGTAGTTTCCACGACTTTTCACTGTCCGAACCCAATTAGGTCACTGCAATTACATTGCTGGATGCGAGAATACTCGGTAAAGAACTAGTTTATTCTACTTTATCAGACTTTTCAGTAACCGGGGATAAGCTTGGTCATGCGTGGCGTTTTTTCTAGGAAATGATTGGCATACCGCTGGTGAACCGGTTGAACAATTTTGAACAAATTACGTCCCCCGCATCAACCACACAATGGGTTGTCTGGTTGAGTCAAGGCAGACAATCCCTCACTCCAATCGGCTCACATGTCGTCCGTTCTGTAGAAAGACTTCTGTGCTTAATACTTCTCGAATTTTTATAGGGGTCGCTCGTTTTTATACCACCCGTAGTATCGCTATATCCTCCGAACTGATTTCACGGAGTGCGCTTTTATTGTGCATCCTATTTGTTCGTATTTTTTCGTCACTAGGTTATAATCAATCGGTATTTTTGTTTTTTGCTCATGCTTACAGGCGTTTTGGGTCGGTGCTAAACCCGGAAGAGGTGAATAATTTTTACGTCGCAACTGGTATTGATTCCACCACTCCGAGTACCCCCATCTCAGGTATATCCGGGACGAGTCCGGTTGGTGGCGGACTCTTATCGCATTCTCCCGGAAACAACACCGGCGCGCCTTCAAGCCGACCTCTGTCACCCTCCCGGCCTCATCCTGAACGGATGCCCGATGGGCCTCCATTGACACGAACACTGGATCCCGTCGGAGACCAGGTAGGTTATTTGCAAACTTTAAAGCTCCTCTCTTTTCTGTTGTTTGTAAGTTGGTAATTCTAGTTGATATTACCAGTAAAACTCTCAAATTCACGCGATGTCCGTCTATTTGTTTGCATCTTTCCTCTCATTCGGTCACGTAGACTTCTGGTGAGGTTCACACGTTTTGGCGGTGAGCTGCATTTAGGTAAAGCAGTCCACAGTACTTTCTGGTTAATAAAGTCAAAATCATATAACGAGAGCATGTGGTACCTGGGGATCTTCACAGATTTTTCCTAAAAGCGCTACAAGTGTCACATTGTACTACGAACATCAGAGAAACCATATTGTTCAATCAAGTGAAAAACGCTTGGAACGGATTGAGTAGTCATCGTTTTCGGAAAAGTTTGGTAACAATCAGTAGATTTATTGCTGGGCAACGTTTAGCTTTTGACACAAAAGCTTCGTCAGGCCAAGTGACTAGGTTACGAGGTTGTTCGAGGTTTGAGGTGAAAGGATAACCAACCAGCTTAGTCAAACTTTTGTGTCAAAAGCGAAACGTTGTCCAGCAATAAATCCGATTATTACCAAACATTCCCGAAAACCATATTGTTCTTCGAGGTTGTGTGCTTCGATAATTTTGTAGTGCAGCAGTTGAGTGGCAGCTGTGTCCGGGATTCACCCACATAATCTACAGGATGATGCATCTGTGATTGCCAAGTGATGTCTAGTTCCTTTGCTTTACTAGAGTGGTACTGGAATGAAAATTCTTCCTCTCAGACGATGTTGATCTATCAGGGAAGTGCGCTCTTCAAACTCTGTTCAACTCAAAATCTATTATGAGTACTAAATCTGCCGATGAAAGATATTCAGCCGAGACGGAAAATGTTATCTACACCCACCTGATTGATTGCGAGCTTAATGAGTCATGAGACGAAGTTGGCTGAAATGTGGTCATAAAGTCTGGCTTCTTTGAGTTTTGAGCCTTGATCATTCAGGCTGAGGGAAACTACTAACTCGGCGGCATAAACTTCACAGACCAGCACTTGTTGTCCCATCTTTACAACAGACAAAGCTGGTTATCGTTTGGCTGAAGCATCCTTTCGGTGCTTAATTGCCATGCCACCTGAAGGAGGCACAAAGGCTGGAATACTACCAGGTTACCTAAGCTTAGACAGAAGAAGTCGAGATGCAGAGGTTGGGTGCGAACCACGTACCTACCGGTCAGTAAATTCGCGCTGTAACCACTGAGCCATATAGCTAGCCAATATAACTAGTCAGACAAAGCTGACTAGTTATGTTCCAAAATGTCTGGTGGGTTTGTTCAACGGAACGATTCTTCCTGTTCCTGCGAATAAACCATTGATGAGTGAACAACGGGCAACCTGTACACCATGCGGATTTCCTTTTTTGATGCTCCATGGCCCAGAAACCATGAGATTAACCATATGGCCGTGGAATCGTTTGAACTTCAACCAGTGCCTTTTTTATCGGCTTTATCCGTTTCACACACGCACATTTTCCACGAAACTACCTTTCACCCAGTTCGTTTACCAGTTGGCCTGGTTTCCCGCTCTGTAACAGGAGCAAGCGTGGCTAAAACAAACAATATGGTCTGTTTATAGCTATCGAGGTTTTTATGCCCTCTTGTCGACGGCGTGTCGTGCCCCGTGCTCGTACAAAAAAGGAAACCCAGGAGGAAATCTGCCCCCCTCAGAGTTTCACGGATTCTTTCTGCAGCTGGTATACACGATGACATTACGTACGCTCTAAACTCTTGTCAAGTGTCATGCGTCGTTGGTCTGAGCAGTCAACCAGCTATCTGAAATTAATCGTCCAGCTATACTACCCTTTCATTGTCTAGCTGCCATGCCACCAGAAGGAAGCAGGGGGGCTGAGATAGTGCCGGGTTACCCAAGTTCAGACAGGAGCAGTCAAGATGCAGGACTTCACGGCCAGTCAGTTCGCGCCCTAACCGGTGAGCTATCTCGGGCTCAACCAACTATTTGCCAGGTTCTGTGATACCTTTTATTTCGGTAGCCATTTACACTCTTGCTTTATTTCTTTCAGGCTCCGAGCAGTCTTACCTCGATGGATGTTAACAGTGGATCTGGTTCAGCGTCCTCCCATGCACAATCTGCAATTGCTGCGGGCGCAGCTGCTGCTGCCGGGATGAAACGTTTCAAGTGGCATCTGGGTATCCGGTCCCAGTCCCGTCCATGGGACATTATGCACGAGGTGTTCAAAGCAATGAACACATTAGGCTACGAGTGGAAAGTAGTCAACCCGTTTAATATTCGTGTGCGAAAATGGAACCCAATCCTACAACACTATTCCAAGCTAGTGTTGCAACTATACCAGGTGAGACAATCGGTTTGTGTTCTGTTTGACACCGGTTCCTAGCGCTGATTGGATAACAGTACACCGCGTAGATAAAGTGGCACAGCAACTCGTGTTTCCGAGAACTGTCGACATCTTCACATTGACCTGATTGTCAGTGTTGGTGATGATGACAAGTGATCTTTGCATACCCGCTTAATTTCAACCTTGAGTGCATTTTGCACTGTTCTGCTTTGGACCAAAAGCTGTGAGCAGTTCCGAGCTTGTGTTGGGGTGGTAAAAAAAGTTAGGACCCAAGAAGCTGCTATCGATGCTTAACGCAAAAGATAGCAAAAAAGCAGGCTTGAAAAAAGTAACTATTTTCCGTACCCCCATTTGTCTTTGATTGATCTGACACTATTCCAATGCTTATACTCCTGCATTAACGTGACGACGCAATACAGTTAGGTTCGAGATTCGAGGTGTGAGTGAGGTCTCCTCGTTGTGCATCCAGTTCCATGGTGTTCATCTCTTGCATAGAAAAAGACAAATCTCCGTAAATCTTCGCACATAGGGGAACGGAGGAAAGCGAGAACTGCTTCTGCGAGTCTCTCAGTTGAAAAAAACCCCAACAGTTTGCAATAGCTATGAATCGGTCTATGAATCCTGTAAACCCTGTGTATTCTGTTTGACATGATAGTAATACAGTCATGGTTATCCTAGCTTTGTGATTATACCGTAGTGTGTGATATAATGTTATAATTAGGCGCAACTATCAACGCAAAGTATCAGTTGAGCTGGTTCAACTCCTGGGTTGAAGAAGTTCTGGAGAGGGGAGAATGCTTGGGCCTTCACGTCAGTCTGGGCACGTACGCACATGGTGTGTTAGTTGCACGTAACCTGTTCATGTGTGCACTCGTGCACCACTTGTCAGTAGTGAGAAAAATAGGTGAAAATAAGGTTTCCAAAGCATATGATGAGAAGCAGTTGTATACACTTGGCTACGTCCAACTGTTGATTGCCAAGTGTTCGGGCTTACCTCACAAGATTTGGCAACGTTTGTAATCGTTTTTCATTCGAGCTACTGACGTTATTGTACTGGTTACATTATATTAGTTCCCTCTTTCAAGAAAACCACCTTAAACACCCCAAATTTGTGTATTCGTAATGCACTACTCATAAGGTTGCTAAAAATTTGTCGACAGCCCACGACCGGTTTCGCTCTTCTTGCGACTCATCAGGTAGGCGCAGTCCCCGAGTTTCCGTCAACCTTATGTTCTTTTGTCTCCTGGGCCGATATTCATCCTATTCTGGTTTCGGCATCTTTATTCAACTTCCTAACCAAACAAGTGGCTTTTTGTTGACACAGCATCACTTCTTCGATAGCCTGCTTTGGAGCTCATCAGGCAGATGTAGTTCCACATTTCCAGTCAACCTCGTTTTCCACTTGAACAGCGCATTGCACAAGGTGCGTATAGAATATTCTAACTCAACTTATCAAGCAAAGCGCTGATCAGGAGATATTGGAGTTTTCACTGCTCTTGAACGCCCTAGAATCCGAAAGGGCAGCCAAGCAGGGTCGAATCTGATAAAGGTAGTCCCTCCCCCGGAGATATTTTTCGGGTAGGTGGCATTCTTCTCTTCCCTAATGAGAGACTACCATCCCTGTTTTCCACTTGATCTTAAATTACCTGTTCTCACCTACCTTGGCAATGGAACGCGGTACATGAACCAAACCGTTTGTTGCGTTCGCCCCTACCGCTTTAAATCATTTTCCCGAGTCTACGGCATGATCCATGATATAATAATTGCAGGTTATCCATTGACTGTGATCAAATGGCTAACTGATGTAAGCAAGGCCTAATTGTGTTTTGTCGAGGTAGAGAAGTTGATGAAATATTACACTTCACGCGACCAGTAGTGAATAGGCTGATGCAATATCGGTAGTTATGCTGGTCGCATCGCCCGATGAAGTACGACTCTCCAGACCACTGAATTTGGTGCATCATCCTATCATCTACAGGTTTATCCACACCATGGTCCCGCATTCATTTGTTCATTCGCCGCGTAATGGTGGCATGCGTCTTATACGTTTCAAAATCCATTAAGAACAGTGGATTGTCAAATTTCCATCTGCCTAAGTAACCGAAATTCCTAGTTTTCGTATCTGTAGGTCATGTACACAAACCCGAGTAACCAAGTCGTTCTATCATGGGATTGTCTCCTAAAAGCCCATCCTACCTCTTAAAGGTATTCTCTTTGGGGCCAGCAATGTGTGAAAAAAAAATATCCAGAATCTATACTAATTACCGGAACTTACTACCGACGAAGCAATTTACTGGAACCTGACGCAAACCGTGCACTATACATTCCACCAGACTTGTTCATTTGCCTCAATATGAGCGAGTCCCATAAGTTGATCCCACTAGCTGAGGTTTAATAGGATCCGTTTTCTATTGGATCGCATGTCTCAAAACGAACTGGTCTGTTTTTGGTAGATCTTTCTGTTACACTCTCACAGCAGGGTTTTTCTAACCGCAAGTTTTACCTAACACAAAGACATTGCAAAATGTTGATGCCTATCCGTATAACCAAACACAATGATGATTCATGCAAAGAAAATTAAATGGGCTAGGCGAAGCCTAACCTGAATCGGTATTAAAAATTCGGATGGAATCAGCTATCTCGTTCTGTCAGTTTTTGTTTGTGGAGACCCGGCCAACAACGGCTGATTGGCATTTCTTCATTGAAAGCCAACGGGCTGGTTGTAGTTTGTAGTACTGTAGCCTGATGGCCTACATTTTGATTAGGTTATTCCACCTGTGATGTTGATTTACGCATTTGCAACTCGGCTGATTAGTCCGTACTTGTGATCGGTCATTTTATGAGGTGCTGAGCAATGGGTTCGAATGGGGTTTTATTTGTCCTACCTGCGTAATTGTCACATCGACCTCTAGGACTGATATGCGATACGGTAGTGTGTGGAATTTTCTTCGTTGTTGATAACGCCTGGAGTTGTTCACGGACGGGAGGTTGTCACGAACAGTGGTTAGCAGGTAATGGTCCTCTTTAAATAAACAGTTCTTTACGTGAAGCTATTGCTGAACTTCTACGTGAATGATTGACCACATATATGGGCTAATCACTGAGGCTGGTCGAGCTGAGGGCGCATAGCCCGTCGATAGCACAACCCATTTAATCTGTAGGTTACCAGGTTGAGCTCACACACCTTCAGGACACCGCTACGAGCCACCAACATTAGCTCTTGGTTTCCAGCGAAACATCGTTGAACGGCCGCGATTTGCGGTACTGAAATCGTTGAGGCGAGATACTCGCTTGTTTCCGCACTTTTAGCACTGCTGCAGATCAGTAAACGCTATGTTTAGTGATGTCCAAGCCATTCGCTTATTTTGTGTGAAACGGCGATATATCTGATGTATTGTCAAAACTCCGCAGTCTGTCTACTTTACGTGATTAGATAAAGGAGCACAATCTCCAAACGGTTCTTTCAGTTTCCAGTAGTGAAGAAGTGAAGTTTTCGAATATACACTCATTTGCAAACTAATTTGGTTTTTCGAAAGACTCACCTGGAACTCAGCTGAATGTCTCGTTTGTGATGTTCTCAAACGAGTGTACATTCGCTAATCTCGTGCAATTTGGTTTCAAGTAGAACACAAGTTTGACGGAAACCCAGGGACTGCGCCTACCTGATGAGCCCCAAAAAGGGCGAAACCGGTCGTGGGCTGTCGGCGGATTTTCAGCAACCTTGTGAGTAGCACATTACAAAATGAAGTTTCCGTTTGACGGCATTGAAAGACCATATTTCCTTACTTTTCCGGCCTCGCTTGAAATTCACTTCGATGTTCTCATTCGCACGCCCCGCTGCCGCATCTCTGAGTTGTCCTTTCACTATTTTCCAACTAGGTTGATGCTCGATCCTACTTGTTGGACTTTAAGTGCATTGATGAGAGTCAACTGGACAGTGACTCAGCAGTTGGACGACGGCGATCCAACAACGTATCTGCCTGTTTGGAATCTCCCTACTCTGGAAGTAAGTTACTATTTATGTAATTTATACAACAATGATTATGCTATGCATCAAATTGTGTTCTGGATCTGATGATTGAATACTCTTAGTTAAACTCATTACTCCCCATTTGGTAGTGCTCTGTTTTCTGCCATTCATACAAACCGGAAGTTCATTTATGCTTTTGGCTATGACAACATGAGTTTACGATCGTACTGTTTTCCCTGTTCGCCTTGGACGCCCACATTAGCAGTATAGCTGAAGTTTACCGAACTGGTGTTACCTGATTGGTCTGTGGCAGAAATCGATTTTTAATGTACCCGCACCAGCCTGCAACAGATTGCCAATTTTGGATTCCAGTTGTCGTTGCTTGCGTGCAACAATTCCGCTCTTCCATCAACAAACCATGTGGCCAAGTGCTATCGATTTGGTGATTATTCTTCAGATACCTATATTCGTTTGTGTTTTATCTTCTTATCAGAAGTGGAGTCAGAAGCTTTGTTCCACCTTAGAAACACGGTGCATGTGTCTATTGATTGTCGCGTTGAATATTGGGCGATTCACGTCAGAACAATGTGAGCACTTGTGAGACAGGTTCTTGTTCCCGTGTCCAAAAACAGGACATCCTATTCACCTATTCAACGGTGTCAGTTCTCTGTTCTGATTCTAACCGTGATGGTGCCAGTGGGTCATGTGAGCAAGTCATGCTGGGGTTTTGCGCTCAGCTGAACATGCCAGTTTCCAAACCCTTCGATCTGATTCAAATTGAGGGGTGAACAGGTGCAAGGTTTTTCGTGAATCGGCTGATACCAATAGATTGGTTGATTTATGAAAAGACAAACAACTTATACAAGGCCGCAAACGCTGTTGCACTCTCAGCAGCCTGGCACTGTTTTTGGCTGTGTACGAGTATTCTCCCCTGATGATGTTCTCAACTGCATGAAATTAAATTGAGCAGGATGAGTCTGCGGTCTGCCGGGATTATCCAGTGCAGCCAAATCAAATCTTTTGGCAGGTGTACTAAACGTTCCTCCACTAGAACTTCAAAGACCGTCGTTTGTATCGGCGCGTATCAACGTCTTGATCACTGGTTAATCTGTGGAGACCCAACCGGAGTGTGCCATCCAGGTACTCTGGCGGTCTAATTCAGCATCATCGCAGTTACTGTAAGCTAAATCTATTCCATCAGTATACTTTCATTCTTTTCGCGTTATCGTTGCTACGTTTCTGGTGTTTGTTGGAGTCGCCTTTTTCCGGTTGACTTGTTTGAAGTTTAATCCATTCATCTATCAAATGATACAAGGAGGCGTGAAACAGCAGGGAATGGTGAACCCTGAATTTAGGAGATTTGTGTAAAAGACGAAAATTAAAACATTAAAATGACATCACATTTAAACAAACCTAGGGTGTTAAGTGTTTGTCAACTTGTGATTTGCAGAGAAATGGGAGGAATAAGACGAAGACCGAAAGTCGAAGGAGTTCCATAGCTTTGCCGTCCCGAGAGCGGTTGAAGAGGAGTGGAGTTCGGCCCAATAACAATGGGTATTTGTTTGAAAGCAGCTGTCAATTTCACACAGACAGGTGAAGCAGTAAAAATGACAGGGAATAGGAACAACACTGGCAAACACAAGGGGGCAACATCTCGATGCCGAGGATTGTAGTCTGTCCATGGAGCGGTCCAATGAGTCAACCTATTTTTGAAAGATCGCTACCCAAGATATGCGGGCTGTACACTATCTACGGACGAATGCAACTTCCCATCGGGAATGGAAGGGGAAACAAATTTTTTGGAGTTTTTGGGGTTTTGTATTACTGGACGTGGAAAGATCACTGGAGAGCAACAAATTCAGGGGGATGCGCCATCAGAAAAAGGAATCGATATGGCCAATACAGGCATTTGGAACATCTTGCATACAATGCAAACTAAAATGTAGTTTCCATCCATTGTGAAGAATTAAAAGACGAATAAGACCAGGCGGTGTTTTCATTATGCAGTTGCTTTGCCAGACTCATGACTTTTTAACGGATCGAAACATGCAACCAGGCTAAAATAGCGACAGGCTGCACGGAGAGCTTTTCCAGCGACATTGTGCGTCCGAAGAACTGTCCAAGGGAATCCCTGTCACACGAAAAATGTGGGCTTGATCTTTCACGTCTCATATTCCGTGCCCTTTCTGGAACGTACTTTGTCTGCGGCCATGCTTGTGTAGGTAGCATTTCAATACTTTGTGAGCGTCTCACTTGTCGCGCTTTTTTTTTAAAAAAAACCTGATCTTGTCCGTTTGCCTATCATACCGTAGACTCCCCTGGAATGGTTGCTTCGATGTACAGCGCAGATGGCAGTCGATCGGGTAGTGTGGGTTCAGTTAGCCCGCTTCCAACAGGGAACAACACTGACGGTGTGAGTGCTACCGATCTAGTCCGCGCGTTGTCAACGGGATCTCAGGAAATTCCCTTGCCCCGAAGACAAAAACGTCATCAGACCATGGAGTTTTTTGAAATGTGTACCGAACTCATTACAACCCTAGCTCGGTGACCTACTGTATTCACGAGATGAAGCAAACCTTTCACACCAAACCTGCGCACAATGGTCGGCTCTGACGGTGGTCGTTTTGGGGTATACTATCAACTACTACTTCTCACCTGCAACCAATCTCCCCTTACCTGCTACCAACTAATCACTACCCTATTTTAGTCTTCCACTGCCATTGGCCTTGTGTACATACCCTGATGTGACGCACGAAGTTCATTGTTCATTGATCACCTCTCCTATGTTTATTTTTTGCACCTTAGCTGGTCTAACTTTTGCCGGACTCGCCTACCACATAAAACATGGGCCCATCGTGAGGGATTGAATTTTTATCCAGTTTTTGCTTTCCTGACTCCTGGTTTGTTATCTACCCACTGTGAATCCGTTGCTGAATACGCGCCTGTTTCGGTCACACCCACATGTACCTCCTGTAGATGTATTTCCTTATCCTTTCACTCAACAATTTCACGCGTAACCCGCGTTCATCTAGCCTGTCTTCGGGATAGGATCCCACTGGGTATTTTGATGAATTACTTGTCAAAGACTGATAAGAGTTTACATAAAGTCCCCGGAGATTGTCTGTTGGAAGGAATAGTTTAAATATTCGGTGATGCCGTTTGTGATACCTACAGACCAGGTTGAAAGCTCCTAGATGACAAGGGTTTGGTGGTATAGTGCTGCAAGTTGTGCATTTTTTTCACTGACATGCCTTTTGACCAGTTTGTCGAATCAGCTGAAATGGGGTGCAGCGAAAGCCTCTTCCATCTTCTGGGCCTTCGAAATCCACCGGCGTTCTCTGTCATTCCTCAGGCCCCTGATTATCCGGTTTTGGGGGATCCGCGTGCGCCACCACAGTCGCTAGTTGGCGGCCCCTCTGGCCGCAGTAAGATCTGTTGAGCTCGACGATATGCAGTGTTCATTTGCTCGAGTCAGATGACTTGGACAGACAGTTCTGCAAACTGAGAGCATAACTGCTTTAACTCGCTTCCACTCAGCCCCTAAGCAATTTTCGTCATCTGCGTCACGGCGCGCTTCCAATAGCTTTCTCGCCGGATCGACTCGGTACTCTTGGGCTACTGAAACTTATCGCAGTTGGTGAATGAAACTGCTCTGCCTTCGAAAGCGTAGTGCTGATGGAAAGCGGAGCGCTATCCGACTTCCTTCAATGGCATGATCAGAGTCAAGGTGCGTACATCAGAAGGAACGATGACCTTTGACGCTTTCTATCGGTAACTGATAGCCACATGGTCAAATCCGTTTTACGACCGTCTTGTGGTGGATGGCCTCGAAGTAACTCAATGTGAGCGTTCGTACTAGATGAGAACCAAAATGCTGTAGCCGATAGGGCTAACTTTAGCTACTCTCTCTTGTCGTGCATACCAGAAGTCAGAGCTACTCCAACATTATGCTAAATTATTCCTGTTTAACCGACGCAGGCACAGCCTGCATTTCAGATTGTTTTCGAGCGATTGAATGTCCAGAGTCTAATGGCTAGACCGGTTAGCCAACGTGTTTTATACTTTTTGGAAACTCAAGGCAGGCATGCCAGAAGGGTAACAGTCCTCGATTTGGAAGCTAACCCAAAAAGTGTCTGAAAGTTAAACTTGGATTATTAGGGGTAAACATTGTTGTATTTGTGATGGTTTTTTTTTGCGGGAGGTTTATTGTTCAGTCTCACATCACTCTCGTTTTGAACAGTCGTCCTCCTGTCCTGGCGCAATTATTCATGTGAATCCACACCAAAGGGGGGGAAGCACTGGACTCGTCATAACCAGGACAGTTACTGGGTCGTCGTATCGATGATGTGTCGGGCATACTAATCACATCGCTCAAGTGAGAACACGTTCACCCGTTCAGACGTGAGAATTCAGATGCGTCCAACGTGCGCTGGTGGAATAGTGGTAACACGTTCGCCTCACATGTCAGGTGTCCGGAGTTCAAACCCCGGCACGGCCATTGGATATGCACTGCTGATGAGCTCTAACAAGATTGTTGTATTCATTTTTCCGAGAGAAGTTATCGAAGTGGCTCTCCGAAGGTTTCAGATCCTTCAGATGTTTATTATCTAGACGAAACTCAATTCCACGGACTTCCTGGTCTGAATTATCTTCTCAAGAAAGAACCGAGATATTCAGAGAAGAACAGAATGAATCTATATGGATTCCTTGCACTACTTTCATCAGTGTCAACAGTGCTGTCCATTCAAAGGACAGGCCCAGCGAGCAATGCGCACGTAAGCGGGTGCACATCTCTACTCAGGGCACATCTGTCGATGCATTGCACCGTTCCGTTTGGTAATACAGAACTCATGAAGTCACCTCGATGATGGTATGATGTTTGCGAATGAATTGCCCGGCTGAGTGAGCAAACCGATAGTCAACTATATAAGAGCTTCCAATGAAGTGATCAAAGAGGAAACCTGAATGCAGCAGTACCACTCTGGGCGGCCTAGTTTATTCCTACCTTTGTGAAGGTTGACTTGCACTCCGCTGATGGTTCTCATTCTGCTAATGTCGAGGCGCAAGAAATTTGGTCCACTCCTGTTCGCGTTAGTGATACCTCCAAATTTCTGATGGATCAGACGTTTAGGATTGGTAGATCGCAGTTTGAGTACAATGCTGGTTGTTGGTGTCAAACACTTTTGTAGGCCGATGACTAGATGGTCAAACACATCGACGAACTTCGAATGGGGAGTTGCGTTTGCACTCACGTACTTACGGGTGACTACTGCAGCAAATCGACCCAACAGAAAAGATTGGGGGCCCAATTGAGTAAACAGGCATTTTTCTGTTTATTATGTTTGAACAGCCATTGTATCAAACAATATTCCAGATTGGTAGTTTCACTTATGGCGGAACTTGATTGCATTCCGTAAATCACCAACCCCAATGGAAAACATTACCGTGATTTCGCCCGTATAAGCCACGGTTTGCAAAGTAATAAGGAATTTGAGGAAATAGTGTGTAAGCCACATGACCGCCTAATTGTTAATTAAACACGCTGCCGTTGCAAGTAGAGTTCACTGATTCTTCGGCAACAGTGACAAATTAGGGGAACATTCTACCTTATTGTGCGCAGGTTTTAGCTTACTATGAGTTGGTGTTTACAATAGCTTTTAGCTTGATAGCAGGTTCTTGCCTGTTGTCTTATAATGTGGTTCGGGTTGCTAACTAATACTCTTCGCTTTTCGAGGAGCAAATGTGCTTCAGCTCTCACCCTTGACATTTTGTGAAAATCAAACTTCTGGCTAGACTAAGGAAGAAACCAAGTCATACGTAGAACATCCCATTCAGCTGCTGGATTGATTTAATAATAGTAGGCTGCGAAACACGCCCAAAGTCTATTGACCTGAAATCAGTTTTTTGTGTCCAAGTCAGAATCACTGATCTAGGGATGTAAAACTTGCATACTGGTAACGCGGGGACGTAGCTAATGGAGTAGGGAAAAAGAGAGAAGACAATGCTGTCCAAGACAGGTTCGATGCGTGTCAGTAGAAAGAAGCCGATTGGGCTACGTTTCGAGAAATTCTATGTTCTTAGTCGTAGTTCGGAATTTCCTTCATTTTGGTTGACTGTTTGTCATCAAAACAGAATAGATTCGAATAAACCGGTAATAACTACGGTGCTAGGGAGCCTGACCACGGGGCACCACCAGCTGTAACAAAAATTAGGGTCCTATGATGATTCACACATCACTTTGATACTGACTTGATCAGTACTGTTTCCGAGCCTTGCATATCGTATGGCTTTGCTATATCATATGGTATGAATTCGAGTGTACATTGTTTCCCTCACACACACTGACCTCCAGCCTGCTGGAGCTCAACTAAGGAGGTCTCACAACCACGTAATAAGCCAGTGTTGCAGCTGAATAAAATTATCCGTCTCGGTGGCTTATGCTAAAACGCTGTCAGTCCCAGGCTCTCAAACAGGCTCAGTTACCTCGCACAATACTCTTGTCGTGCAAGGGCACCTATGTTTAATGCAAAAGACGTGCACTTATGCAAGGCTTCCCCGCGCATGTGCAGATGGTGCGCGTTTATTGTCACCTGTATGACGTCCGCTAACACGGCCGAGCATGTAATCGCGCAATCCATGTGTCAAAAATCCGGAGAGAGGTCGGAGAAGTATGGTCGTTTAGTCCAATGGATCGAACACGATTGCGACACAACGATATATATACGGTATATACTGGCGATAGTGTGAGGAGAATGGTATCTTTCATGGAAGAGAAGCGCTGCACAGCTGCTTCATCCTTACCCGTAATCGCTAGCAGAGCACATCTCACGAAACTCAGAGTTTCGAACCCGCGACTGCTTGGCCAGTGGGTGAACAAGTAACATTTCGGCCACGAGTGTGACTAGCTCGTACATCAACCTACAGCCAGCCCTATTTTGCGTTCAAAATGCTCGAAAAAGGTAGGGTTGTGACGACTTCTGGCTTTGCGGTCAAGTTCATCCCAAAGGGTGAGGACGCATAATGATTTCAGAAAATTGCGGCTTTGTATCTGTAACATGAGCCTGGAGACAATTTGATAAAACAGTGCCCCAGTACACTGATTCTCAAAACTCACTCTGCTCCCAGACAGTCGCCACGGGTCCCCGCAAAGTTATACTTAATTTACTGCATATTCCCAATAATTTGGAAATATCCCGTTAAAACAATTTGGTCAGTGTAATCACTTCATTAGTGCCTTCAAATTCCATTCCAGTGAAGACTGTTCTCCAATATAAGAACAGGATAATTCGATTTTTGCAAGGTTCTGATGGGAGAGGTGCCTGTCTGTTGTTTAGCACTGAGAGTTGAGGAGACCTTCAAATGACAAAGCCTACCACTTTTAGTCGCCTCAGTCTATCAACCAAAATATGAAAAAATTAAATTGCACCAGCAAGCTGCAGATGAAAGGAAGAAGGCCTTCGCTGCGGAGTTATTAATTAGAAGTGCAAAGTGACCAGTTACAGACTATTGGACAGGGAAGCAAAACTCTCATATGCGTACTGTTTACAA